TCGTCCCTGGCCTGGTACATCGACATGATGAAGCGCCATGCCTGGTGACCAGCATCCAGTCGCTCTCGACAGCTCCCGAGCGCTAGCTGCGTCACCGGCGAGCAGCACCTCGAGATGACCATGAAGGTGAGCAGGTGAGCAGAACGAAACTCCCTGCGCAGCTCGACATCCTCCTCGGGCGGAATTGGCACGGTGCCGTTGGCAAAGCCCTTCAGCCCAGCGACCTCCAACTGAGGTTTGATCGACTCCCTCCAGGTGATGAGGTCCCGTCGACCTTGCAGCGGTACGACGGTGATTCGGTCCGGCGAGAATTTGAAGTAGCCATACGCTGGTGCAATCTCGCCTGCCGTCACATGCGTCGTCGCCAAGAGCCCTCCCCCGCTTTGTAGAGGAGAGCGACGTTGAGCATCGACATCATCACGCGAGCTGCCTGCAGCCGCCGTCGACCGCTGCACTCGCGCCTGGATTCCGTCGACACCACCGTCGACCTTGATCACCCCTCTCTACCTCGTGCCTTCGCTGCCGCTAACTCGTGCACCACCGTCGACCTCGTCGTCGACGCCACCTTCGTTGCGCACCGGTCGAGGAGATGCAGGACGGGAAGGGTGTTCGGTCGCCCACTGCAACCGGATGCCCAGCTCGGCAATCACCAAGGGTGTTCCGGATGCCTCCGCAGATCTCGTCGAGCAGGTTACCCGGTTGACCACCAGGTGCTTCTGGTCGACCACCACTGCTTCTGGTCAACCATCAGGTCCCTCTGGTCGACCACCAGGTGCCTCTGGTCGACCACAACTCCCGTCGAGCTACCCCCTGGTCGACGGACCCCTTCCGTCGACCAGAACCGTCAGCGGTTGACGCCGAGCTCCCCTTGTCGACCGCTGCTCACTTGTCAGGTCGACGGTCTGCTCCATCGACCTCCCAGTCAAACTGCAGGTCGATAGACTGCTCCCGGTCGAGCTGCAGGTCGATGGGAACCCCCTGGTTAAGCTACAGGTCAACGGAGACCTCCCGGTCGAGCTGCAGGTCGACAGAGGCGTCCGGTCAAACTACCCCTCCTGGTCGACGGCCCACCCGTCGCCCAGACCAGTCAGATGCAGCTCTCGAGCTCCGTGGTCGACAGCAGCACCGCAGCGGTCCCCTGTAGCTCGACGATGCGTGTCGAGCAGCTCTCCCACTGTGAACGGCCGGCTGCTACTCCCGTACATCCGACCAAGTCGTCGGCGTTGCCCAAGCGAGGGCGGGGCCAACACTGCACGCGTCCCACGTGCAATATTGGGGCACCTCCACGAAATACGACGGCGCCCAGGGTCCGATTTGTCCTTTCCGTGTCGGTAGAGTCGGGTAGTCCGCCGGCTTCGTGTCGATGACACGCCACCAATCCATGGCGGCTCCTCGCAGCAACGACACAGCATAACAGATTTTCGTCGTATCCTCCGAGACGTAGTTGGCGTCGAAGAAGACATTCATCATAAACAACCACGCCTGAACGGTAGGACCACCCTGTAAGAATCCCAACGACTAGACCATTGGGATAAAAGGGCTTGTTTCAGTAGCGGGTCAGTGCGCCCATAACCCCCCAGGCAAACGCCCCTGTAACCCTCTCCAGGATCAATCGGGCATCCACAGTGTTGATCTACTAAAATCCCCCCACACTGGGAGGCCCAGGACTAAGCACAGCGGCAACGGCCTACATGTGCATACACCGGGAATTGAACCCGAGACCGCTTTAATACCATGTCAAATCCCAACCACTAGACCATTGGGATAAAAGGGCTTGTTTCAGTAGTGGGTCAGTGCGCCCATAACCCCCCAGGCGAACGCGCCTGTAACCCTCTCTACGATCAATCGAGCATCCACAGTGCAGATCTACTGACACACCCCGTTGACTCGGGTCGAAGCATGGCGGACGCTGCGGCTTCAGCGACATCGGCGACGGCAGTGTTGATTCGCCGGCCGGCACAGAAATCGTGACTCGAGGCTGACTCCTGGCCGCATTCGTCGCTTTGGGGTGTGTCGTGTCGTGGTCGTCGTCTCCGTCGTGGCGGACAACGCCATCACTAGCCGCGCTCGCAGGTTGCCCCACACTTCCGTATTGCGATGTCTGTGGTGCGGGCTGTACCGGAGTGAAAGATGCTTGCTGCGCTCTTGCGATGTCATTTTGCAGGGACGTGCGTTCTGCCGTCAGCGCCGCGATTTCTTCAGAGCTTTCGCGGATTTGCCGCAGCAGCTCGTTCAAGTGCTCCTGCGTAAGAGTTGTGACGTCGATGTGCTCGGCCATTACGAAGGGCGTTACCTTGGCTTAGTCTAGGCGCAGTCGTGGCTGCACGCGTTTTCGAGAGAACGGGAGGACAGCGGCTCCTAGGGGCTAAGGTGCGTGAGTCCCTTCGAGTGAAAAATCAAAAGTTGATTTCCTGGGGTGCGGAGATGCGCAGTCTGAAAAGGAAGAGGCTCTGAATACCAAGTGTTATGGGTGCAATGAATCAAGGTAGCGAGGATTGCACTAAGGTGTCAAAGGAGTACAAAATGTGAGCGAAGGCATGAGCGAACATTCATACGTGAAACATGCAAACAGTACCGCGGTGCGTGCGAGCTAGCTAGTGTGAGGATCTAGGATCAGGCTCAGAAAAGAGAATGGGAATTGAATTGAATTGAATGATTCACCTGGGTACAACACGAGGCTATATATAGTCTCGACACAAGGCCAATTACCCAGGTGTTACGCGAATGTTCAGAGGGTCGCTAAGCGTCCCGAACAGAAACTTCCCGAACTCAGTAGAAAGCAATTCGGTGGAAACCGAATAGGCTTGAGTTCGTGCACGTAACCTGGTTCGGTGCTACAATTATAATAACATATAGGAATGCACCTAACCTAGGAAATCAAGCATATCTATGCATGATAAATAAATCCCAAACTAGATATAGCATAAAAAAGTCCAGGCAAGCTAGTAAAGCCAGCATAAGCCATCGTACTCTCACACGTCCCCCCCTCAAAGCTGGGTGGCGTGAGATACACCCTGCCTGACAAGATAGTCCTTGAGAGCACAGCGTGCGTTGCCCATATCAGCTTCTGCAACCCAACTGTCCTCAGTGGGGTCGTATCCCTTCCAGAGTATCAGGAACTCGAGGGTCTTGCCGCCGCGGCGCTGATGAGAGAGAACGCGCTCGATCTCGTACTCGGGTTCATCCTGCACAAGAACAGGTGGAGGTGGCGGTAGCTGCCGTCCCTTGAACTGTTGGTTGGGGTCCTTGTAGGGTTTCAGTAGCTGCACATGGAAAGCATTGTGAAGCTTCCACGTATCTGGTAAGCGCAAGCGGAATGTAACTGGTGTCACCTGTGCCTCAACGAGAAAAGGACCACAGAAGCGAGGCCGGAGTTTGGATGGGAGGTGAGACATGTTCAAGTTGCGCGTCTCAAGAAGCACCTGATCTCCGACTGCTACTGATTGATCTCGTCGCTGGCGATTGGCATACTGCTTCTGGGAGGTCTGCATCGTGATGAGTCTTCGCTGAGTCTTCTCCCATAGCTGCTGCACGGTGGTGACGAAATCATGTGCGGCTTGGACGTGTGCCGGTGTGGTTGGCTGCTGTGGTGTAAGTGGTTCCCGTTCGTAACACAGGAAGAAATGAGTTTTCCCTGTTGCCGCATGTGACTCTCAGAATCCCAACCACTAGACCATTGGGATAAAAGGGCTTGTTAAGTAGCGGGTCAGAGTGCGCCCATAACCCCCCAGGCAAACGCGCCTGTAACCCCCCGTAGGATCAATCGGGCATCCACAGTGCAGATCTATTGACACCCCCCCACACTGGGAGGCCCAGGACTGAGCACAGCGGCAACGGCCTACATGTGCATACACCGGGATTCGAACCCGAGACCACTCTGACACCATGTCAAAATCCCACTCACTAGACCATTAGGACAGAACGGCTTGTTAAGTAGCGGGTCAGTGCGCCCATAACCCCCCAGGACAACGAGCCTGTAACCCTTCTCTAGGATCAATCGAGGATCACCAGTGGACCTCTGACACCCCCCCGCACTGGGATGCCCGAAGTGCACACACCGGGACTCGAACCCGAGACCTTCGCTCTGATACCATGTCAGAATCCCAACCACTAGACCATTGGGATAAAAGGGCTTGTTTCAGTATCAGGTCAGAGTGCGCCCATAACCCCCCAAGCAAACGCGCTTGTAACCCCCCGTAGGATCAATCGGGCATCCACAGTGCAGATCTATTGACAGTGACGCGTTGTTGTAAGTGAACTCTAGGGTCGGTAACTGTGTGTCCCAGCGGCTGATTGTCAAACTCATATCATATAGCTGTTCTAGGCTATAGTGGGGTAGACACTATGGGGTACAGTTTCCTAGGGTTTCCTACTTGTACCCACCCTTGTGCTAGTTCATTCATTCCTCATTCTTCACATGGTATAGAGCAGGTTTCCTCGTGGGAACGCTTCTCAGGGCCCACTAACTACCTCGATCTTTTTTTCCTGCCCGAGACGTGCCCCGTAGGCCGCCCTCACGTCGCGCCCTCGTAGAGGCCCCTCTCGCCACCCTTAGCGGCCCCGTCGCCGTCCTTAGCGACCCTGTCGCCGCCCCTCTAGGCCCCTCGTGGCCCCTTCACGGCCCCGTCGCCGCCGCTCTAGGCCTCGTCGCCGCCGCCCTAGGCCCCTCGCGGCCCCTTCACGGCCCCGTCGCCGCCGCTCTAGGCCCCGTCGCCGCTGCTCTAGGCACCTCGCGGCCCCTTCACGGCCCCGTCGCCGCCGCTCTAGGCCCCGTCGCCGCCGCTCTAGGCCCCTAGCGGCCCCTTCACGGCCCCGTCGCCGCCGCTCTAGGCCCCGTCGCCGCCCCTATAGGCCCCTCGCGGCCCCTTCACGGCCCCGTCGCCAACCAGCAGCCGAGCCGCCGAGCCGCCCTGCTGTCGAGCCCCTACTGCTCCTACCGGCGCGCCCCGGCCCTACTTACTCGGACTGGTGAGATCACTCCCTGCTAGGCCACTGTAGTCATGGCTACCCCCAGTGTCCTTACCTTTGATGCTGAGGGTCGTGCTGTTGACTTTGAGGTCTGGGTCGATGACCTCCAGCTGTTCCTACTGCACTATAGGGCACACGGACTCTCTCTGTTTGATCTCACCTCTGGTGCCTCTCCTGCCCCGCCTGCTACTGCTGACAGCACTATTCGCTCACAGTGGGCCACACGCGATGCTGCTGCCCGCCTTGCTGTGCGTCGCCACTTACCGACCACTGAGCGTGCGCACTTTAGCCAGTACAAGAGTGCTAAGACCTTGTACGACGGTGTAGTTGCACGCTACTCCTCCCCTGCCACTGCTGCGCTTAGCCGCCTCATGCTGCCGTACCTGTTCCCTGACCTTGCTGCCTTTCCCACAGTCGCTGACCTTATTACGCACCTCCGCAATAGTGACACTCGCTACCGCGCTGCGCTTCCTGCTGAGTTCTGTGCCAAGAACCCTCCCCCCATGTACATCACCCTCTACTACATAGTCACCCAGCTCCCTGACTCCCTTCGCTTAGTCAGGGACCACTTCCTCTCAGTTTGCCCCACCACACTCACCGTTGACCTACTCGAGGAGCGCCTCCTAGCAGCAGAGAAGAGCATAGTCGCTGTAGGAGCCTCTTGTGCTGACCCTCGCACCCCCGTCTTTGACGGGTGTTCCCCCTCCCCCCTATTGCCCTCTGTTGCTTGTGCCGCTGCGGCTGACCTTGATGGTTTCGAGTCGGTCGGGCTGCGTTTGCCCCTAGCGGGAGACGCCGCACCGGCAAGGGCAAGGGGGGCAAGGGCGCTGGAGGGGCTGGCGGGGGCGGTGGAGGTAGTGGTGGAGGAAGTGGAGGGGGTGGGGGTGGTGGTGGGAGTGGTGGCGGGGGTAGAGGTGTCGATGGCAGCAGTGGAGGCGGTGGAGGCGGCGACGGTGGCAGAGGGAGCGGAGGCGGCGGAGGTGGCGGAGGCGGCGGAGGTGGCGGAGGCGGCGGAGGTGGCGGAGACGGCGGCGGCAGCGGTGGAGCTGGTAGCGGCTCTGCGCAGGGGAGTGGCTTCGGTGGTGGTCCGCGCCAGCAGTAGCAGCGCAGTCGTGAGACCCTGTCCCCTCAGCAGCTTCGTGAGTGGTACGCTACGCGTCAGCTCGGTTGGGGTACTGGTCCCTGCACCTACGTCCTCCGTACCGGCGACCACGCTGGTGAGCAGTGCGGGGGCCCGCACTCCACCCAGCGCTGCTTCGGCCGCCTAACGGACGCGTGGCGTCACCAATTCCCTGAGGCATCTGAGATCCCTCGCTGGGGAGAGCTGTCTAGGGCGGGGGGTGCTATCTTTGATCTTGATTATGATGCTATTCTTGCTGCCATGTATGCTGAGAATGATAGTGTTGAGGGTGACTGTTACCTGTGTGTTCCGCCTGACCCGGGCATTGAGGCTGCTGCTCTAGGTGCTGGTGAGGCTTCTGCTCTAGGTGCTAGTGCGTCTGCTGCCCCAGGTGCTCGTGAGTTTGCTCTCCCAGGTACTACGTTGGCTCAGGCCTTACACACCTTCACTCTTGACTCGGGTGCTTCCCGCTCCTTCTTTTGAGACTGCACCACACTTACGCCACTGAGTCCGCCGGTTGCAGTCTCCCTGGCGGACCCCTCTGGGGGTCGTGTCCTTGCTAGCTTCTCCACTGTCTTACCGTGCCCGGTAGTCCCCTCTGGCACCCTGTCCGGTCTCTACCTCCCCTCTTTATCTACGAACTTGGTGAGTTGAGCTGACCTACAGGATTGGGGGGTTGACCAGTTCACTCCTGCGATTCAGCGGGTGACCTACTGCACGTGTGCTCAGACTGGCCGACACTTGGCCACGTTCACCCGTCGGCCGGGGTCAAGCCTGTACACACTTACTACTGAGTCTCCTCCGGCTGCTGAGTCTGGTCAGGTAGCTGTGTCGAGTCAGATGTTTGCTGCAGCGTCCAGGTCTGGTCCTGAGTCTGCTCCCTACTCGTGTCGTCTCCTGTCCCACCATACTCTCCTCTGGCACCACCACCTTGGTCAACCCGCCCCTCACTCCTCCTAGTTTCCTCCGATAAAGGCTCCGCTGCAGACTCTTCACATGGACGTGTGTTGCCCCGCCCGCGTCTGTGGCCACGGGCACGAGCGTTACTTCCTGTTGGTGGTTGACGACTACTTGCGTTACACCAGACTCTTCCCCTTGCGCAGCAAGGGCGACGTCACTGAGGTGTTGATCGACTGGATCCGCGCAGCTCCTCTCCAGCTCAGAGAGAGTTTCGGCTCGGACTTTCGTGTTCTGCGTCTGCACTCTGACAGAGGCGGGGAGTTTTCTTCTGCCCGTCTGGGAGCCTTCTGACACGCACAGGGCATCCTCCAGACCTTCACGCTTTTGGCCTCTCCACAGCAAAAAGGGATTGCCGAGCGCCGCATTGGCATGGTCATGGACGTCGCTCGTATGTCCATGATCCATGCGGCTGCCCCCCATTTTCCGTGGCCGTTTGCGGTTCAGTACGCAGCGCATCAGCTCAACCTCCAGCCCCGGGTCTCCTTGCCAGAGACCTCCCCCACCCTGCGGTGGACGGGGAAGGTTGGCGATGCGTCTGCGTTTCGGGTCTGGGGATCTCGGGCGTTTGTTCGCGACTTGTGTTCTGACAAGCTGTCCCCCGGTGCTGTTCCCTGCGTCTTCCTTGGCTTCCCCTTGGACGCGCCTGGGTGGCAGTTTTACCACCCCACCTCGCGCCGTGTTCTGTCCTCCCAGGACGTCACCTTTGACGAGTCGGTGCCTTACTACCGTCTCGTCCCCTACCGCACTGTGCCCCTCCCCCCGCCGCCGCTCTTCCATGCGCCAGGTCCTGCCCCGTCAGGTGTGTCCCAGGTAGACGCAGTCAAGCCTGTCGAGGTAGCTGTTGACTCTAATGCTGCTAGAGGTTCTGAGATGCGGGTGCCGGGTCTGGGGGTGCTGAGCGTGAGGGTGTTGAGCCTGGGGGTGCTGAGTCTAGGGGTGCAGAGCCTGGGGGTGCTGAGTGTGGGGGTGCTGAGCTTGGGGGTGCTGAGCCTGGGGATGCTGGATCTGCTCGTGTGGCCTTTCGCGGTGCTTAGTCGAGGCGGGAGCCACTCTCGACGCAGGAGCTGCGCGAGTGGTTTGCCCGGCGCTGGAGCCGTACTGCTGGAGTTGGAGGCACTACTGTTGCTGCTGGTCCCGGAGGTGCTCGTACTGGCGGTACTGGAGCTGCTGGGGCTGGGGGTGCTGCTGGGGCTGCTGAAGTTAGTCTTGCTGGAGGTACTGCTGAGGCTGCTAGTGGTACTGGAGCTGCCGGTCCTACTGGAGTTGGTGCTGCTGGAGCTACTGGTGCTACTGGAGCTGTAGCTGCTGGGGGTGTTGGCGCTGGTGGTTCTGCTCGCGCTGGTGCGTCTGAGGGTGCTGGAGTTGGCGCTGTATGGGCTGGAGGTGCTGCTGGCCCTGGTGCTGCCGCTGGGCGTACTGGTGCTGTCCTTGCTGATTCTGGAGGCGCTGCGCGGCCACGGCCGTACTTCGTTCCGCTCCTGGAGAAGGCTCTTGGTCTCCCACCCGCTACTGGTCCTGCTCCTCCCTTAGAGTGTCCACAGCCTGTCCAGTCGCAGTCACAATTACAGCCCGCCTCCCCCCTGCCTGCTCCTTCTCCCTATACTGGTCCTACTGGAGGTCTTCCTGAGCGTTGTGAGCCTGCGTCTCGTCCTGCATGGCCTGTTTATACTGCTCACACTAGTCGTCGTGCCCCGCGTCCGCGTCCTCTTGCGGTCCCAGGCACACACCAGATGGCACTCCGTCTTTCCACTGCTCTTCTGCGTGTCTCATTGCCGTCGCCTCCAGAGTCCTCTCTTCCTGTTCTTGCTGACCCGGAGTCGGACTCTCTTCGTGCTGCCAGTCCTACTGTCACGCGTCTCCTGGCTACTGTTGTCACTGACCCTTCCTTTGAGTCCACTGCTGCGTCTGCCTTAGTTGCTGAGCTTGTCGACTTTGCTGCTCGCTGTCGTCTCGACCACGCCGCTAGTCTCGTTGCTAAGTCTGAGTCTGTGTGTCCTCCGTCCGTCGTGGGTGAGTGTGCTCTTAGCACGGACTTCCTTGAGGACAGGCAGGGGGAGTTCTAGTGTTTTGCTGCTACTTTGCCTCATCTCGTGTCCACGCTGATTGCCCCTGAGGGAGGCTCGGATGCACCAAACATCCCGACTCCTCGATCGTACGCTGAGGCGATCGAGGTACCCTACTCCTCTCAGTGGCAGTCACCCATGGACGCAGAGATGGCTTCCTGGAAGTCCACAAGCATCTACGTCGACGAGGTTCCCCCACCTTGGACGAACATCGTCAGTGGCATGTGGACTTTCCGGGTGAAGCGGCCGCCGGGTTCTCCGCCTGTCTTCAAGGCACGTTACGTGGCTCGAGGCTTCAGACAGCGGCAGGGAGTTGACTACTTCCAGACCTTCTCTCCCACCCCGAAGATGACCACTCTTCGGGTGCTGCTGCACATAGCCGCTCAGCGCGACTACGAGCTTCACTCTCTTGACTTCAGCACAGCTTTCCTACAGGGCAGCCTGCACGAGGAGATATGGCTGCGCTGCCCACCTGGCTTCATTGGGTCGTTTCCTCCTGGTACCCTGTAAAGCCTCCGGCAGTTAGTCTACGGTCTCCGCCAGGCGCCCCGTGAGTGGAACGACACACTGAGGACTACACTTGCGGCTCTTGGGTTTGCTCCTTCTACAGCCGGCCCGTCGCTGTTTCTGCGCACCGACACCTCTTTGCTGCCGTTCTACATCCTCGTGTACGTCGACGACTTGGTCTTTGCCACTGCTGATACTGCTGGAATAGCCCACGTGAAGTCCGAGCTGCAGAAGAGACACACGTGCACATACGTGGGTGAACTGCGCAGCTACCTTGGCTTGCAGATCACCCGGAACAAAGCACAGCGTACCATTACCCTGACTCAGTCACACATGGTGCAGCAGGTCCTTCAGCGCTTCGACTTCACGTACTCCTCGCCCAAGGCCACTCCTCTGTCTACTCGTCACTCGCTCTCAGCTCTGCCTTTGGATGAGTCCGTAGAGCCGAGTGGCCCGTACCCAGAGCTTGTTGGCTGCCTCATGTACTTGATGACCTGCACACGACCTAACCTTGCATACCCTCTTAGCATCTTGGCACGCTATGTTGCTCCTGGGAGACACCGACCAGAGCACATGGCTGCAGCGAAGAGGGTGTTGCTCTACGTGTGCAGTAGGACGAGCATGGGACTAGTGCTTGGAGGGCGGCGTTCAGTGGTCCTCACAGGTCACGCAGACGCTTCTTGGGCTGACGACCAGGCTACGCGGCGGTCGTCAGAGGGTTACACCTTCAGCCTTGGTTCCGCCTCTGTTTCGTGGCGGTCTACCCGCTCGTCTTTTGTTCTCGACTCCAGCTGTGAGGCTGAGATCTACACGGGGGCCATGGCTGCACAGGAGCTACGCTGGCTCACCTACCTGCTGACTGACCTAGGAGAGGCGCCTCGTTCTCCTCCAGTTCTGTATGTACACAACAAGTCCATGATGGCCTTGTGTCGGGAGCACAGACTGAAACACAGAACGAAGCACATTGCTCTTCGCTACTTCCTTGCTCGTGAGCTGCAGCAGCGTGGTCAGCTGCGCCTTGCTACGTGGCCTTTGAGGCCAACACTACTGATATCTTTACCAAGGCACTTCCGCCTTGTGATCATCAGCGCTTTTGTACTATGCTAGGTCTTGTGCCTACTTGGCCTCACTTGCTCACTTCTTGACCTTACTTGTACTGTGATCTTTCTATACCTGCACTTGCTTGTTTACCTGTATATATGATCTTGCATGTGAACTGGCCTCTTCGCCTTGCTCTTGTGCTCGGATTGTGTGGTGACGTTGTGATCCACCCTGAGCTTGCTTTGCTTTGCTTGACTGGTCTTCTGACCTCTTGTTCTCCCCCACTTTGCCTATGGGGGTGTGTCAAACTCATATCATATAGCTTGTCTAGGCTATAGTGGGTAGACACTATGGGGTACAGTTTCCTAGGGTTTCCTACTTGTACCCAACCTTGTGCTAGTTCATTCATTCCTCATTCTTCACACTGATGTTGTCTTTGCAAGATGTGCGCTATAATTGTTCAACCACTTGATAGAGTTGCTCGGTCTGTCCGTCAGTCTGTGGGTGGTATGCTGAGGACATCGCAAGTTTGGTCCCCAATAATCCCATGAGCTCCTTCCAGAACTTACTCGTGAATTTTGGGTCTCTGTCTGAGATGAGTGTAGCGGGGATGCCGTGGATGGTGATGATGCGGTCGAAGAAGAGGCGAGCAGTTGCTTCAGCTGTAGCTGTGGTGTTGGTCGGGATAAAGTGACCCATTTTGGAGAACTCATCAATTGCTACGAGGATGGAATCAAGGCTCCGTGAGGTCGAAGGAAGTCTTGTGATGAAGTCGAGGCTAACGACCTGCCATGGCTGCTCCGGTACGGGTAGAGGCTGAAGTAACCCTGCTTTTTTCTGCTTGTTGCTCTTCATCCGCTGGCACGTGTCGCAAGAGGTGACGAACTGTTGCACGTCTGCTGCCATCCCAGG